GCTCTTGCTCTTTAGCTCTTTCTTTCTTTCTCTCTTTCTTACAATGCCTGAGCTACAAAATGCTCTATAATCTGATTCAATTTAACTTTGGCTCCATGGCAAAGGTAGTTTTTGAGGTCAGTATTGGAAGTTTGCTCTGATTCCAGGGGGGCTGTTGCTACTTGTCTCTCTCTGTGGTTATCTCTGGTAAACTTGCTTACCAATAGTTGAGCTTTATGCTGTCTTGTAGCTACCACCTTCCTCTTAATTGCTTAGCACGGTAGTCTCCATTTCTTTTGCAAGTGCACTTAGGTTTAAACTTGGTCACAGTCAGTTATTCAAGGTGAGTTCCCTTTGGGAGAACTTGATAGTTCTGTTCTTACAGCCTGTCTCTCTCCCTGTAAAAAATCACCACACTGTTACTCAGTGGGGCATAATACCTTGTTTTTCTAAGTGACACTTCTACTTCATGAGCAGAGTGGTCCATGGAGATATTTGAAGACTCTTACCTTTTTGTTATGCTTCTCCTGGTGTGAAACCTCTGCCCTGTGTGAGATTGGGGGTTAAGGGTGTTCAGGGCCCAGTATACATTCTGTGTTTACTGTGCCTGGGGTAGATATTCCACTTGGTAGTGAAGGCTATGTAGTGGGAAGGGAGTCTCCAATCTCTTGTCCACAGTAGGCTTTAATTTAGCCTCTGTGACCTTGGGCTGAGTAGGATGGGAAATGCTAGCCCTCTGTCCTTTGAACTGGGAGATAGGGGGAGAGGAAAGCCCCATCTTTTCAGCCATACCTACTCTGAGTGGAACTTCAGTCACACTGAGCTGCGTGGATGATTAAGGAAAAAATAGATCATGACTTGAGTACCACAAGCTGTTTTTACCAAGTTTTAGTTGATACTCTTAAAAAATGTTTCATCTGGTGCATTCCCTTCAAGGATTTTAAATGGTTGTTGTAAAATATTTTTCACTAGTTCTTTTGCTGGAGAGAAAGTCTGCTAAAGTCCTCATGCTGACACTTTGTGACTCATTCTCTTTTTAATATATTTGCTTCATGGCCTGGTATAGAATTCCAGCATTACCTATACATAGTTGCAGTATAAATAGAACTTTTCCCTTAAAAAGCTCTCTCTATATATGTATGCATGCAAATCTGTTTCTTTTGTATTCTTCTATTGATAGGTGTCAGGCTTGACCAATTGGGTTTTCTTCTTATTTATCTTTCACCTACTTGGACGTCACTCCCTCCGTATCAGCCCTGGCGGTCTCCTCATTTTTGCTTTTATTTCTGGGCTCCAAACTTCTACTTGAGTCACTGGAAATGGTGACAGTTTATAAACTGTCTACTTGGCTCACATATTAGCTTTGATTTTCAGCCAGTCTCTGGGATTTTATAAGCTAGTTTATGGGCTATCTTGCACAGATACTGTTCTTCTCAAGATCAAATTGGCTGGCTCATCAGTTTGATGTGCTGTAATATCTATGTTTGTTATGTGGACGATAAGAACTTATGGAGGAGGTTTGGTTAATGGCCGACCACAGGAGAACTGTATTTTAAAGCCACTTCTCCAAAACAGTTGTCTGGTAATGACTTTCAAGTCTACAATGAAACACTATTAAAGATAAAGGGGATAAATTGTCAGGTATGAAGGTACCTTTGTGTAATGTTGAGATGCATCTATAGGGGCGACAGCTTTTATCAGAGCAATTAAAATCAATGGCTACTTTACCTGAGGGAATGTTGCTCTAAGATGGTTTGGAGGGAATGGTTGTTCACAGGAATTAGAGTGAGACATAAATTCATTGTTACTTAGGCTCAGTCTCATTTTGGGGATCTTTGGGAATAGATCTGTTGCCTTAATTATCTGTGTTGGAAGTAAAACTTTTGAAGGCACACTAATAAATATTGATGTGTACCATGTCCATTTTTTCCACAGTAACTCTTCTTTTACCCTTCCACCTTCTCGGAATACCCCTTGGATCTTAGCATTCTGATCTAGTATTAGATTTCAGTGGACAGTGAGCAAAAGAATTTGTGAACCTATAATGGAAAAAAGAATCCCTATCTCTTTCATGGAACTGTAATATTGAGAAAGAGGGTTTTTGATAGTGAAATACTGCTTTAAGAACCAAATCAGCACTTGTTCAAATATTTTCTTGAGGTTACTTGTTAAAGCTAGGAATACAATCTCCCCAAAATGCGAGCGGTCAGAGTTTAACTTTGAAATAGGTTCTAGGTGAAATAAATGTTAACTGGATCTCTGTTTGTTCTTTAGGCAGCAGGAGCAATTCGACCTCTTGTATCTACTGTAATCAGTCCATCTGCTGATGGTTGCTTAGACCATTCACTAGAACGTGCCAGACACAGAGCAAGTGAAATGCCACAGGCTTTTCTATTTGATGTGATCTATGAAGCCTATCAGCAGGTAAGAATCCTGATTTCTGAAAATGGCTATGTTGGGGGTCCACAAGAATACTCCTCTTTTTGGAGATTTGCTGGAAGATTCCACGTATAGTTAGACTCAAGTTAAAATTGCTAACAGTGAAGTAGAGCGGATTCACAGCTGAGTCATAGGAGAAACACATGCAGAGTTTGGGAGGATCCATGTGTATTCTTGCTTAGGTTCATATCTTCCCCTGAGGGGTCACACACAGCATCATCTTCTCCCCCACCCACCAGCAATGAAAATTTAGCAACATGTGGGTGATGGTTCTCTTCAGGGAAGCCCATTAGAGTCTGGTGTTCAAGGTGTTTATTGGGGTTGGTCACATTAGGCATCCCCTGCCTCAGCATGTACAAAAGCTTCAGATTCCCAGAAGGAAAGCAGGTGTCTAACATGAGCAATGCTGTTTATGCAAATAGTATGAGCATAGTTGAACCACACTTAATAACTGTTCACTGAGAAAACTACAAGAGCCAATTTCCCATATCCAGGTGGAAGGGTAGTCTTTCTAACCATTTAAGGCCTGTATGGTAAGTTTCTTGCGCAGCTGTAGATACTTTATCGTTTGTATTCACAAACTAACTTCTTCTAAAATCTCACATAATCGATTTGTGTTTAGAAATTTTTCTTTGTTTTTATGTTCTGAAAATGCTTTGGGACCTTTTGCTGACATTTATTGCAAATTTATGGATTAAATAGTTATTGATTATTAGGTATTTTGCTTATCAGAAACTTCCCAATGAAATAAGTTAGAACTAACTCACTGTTCGGTGGATGTTAAACAATCAGTGAAGAGTTTGGAATAGATGGACTTTTAAGAAAATGAAGGTAGTGGTAATAGGAATATTGACATTTATAATACAAAAATGCCTCTTACCTTGGATAGAAGGTGGTCACATACATAATAAATTGAATGAATCTTGATTGGTTAGTTTTTTTTGACCATATTTTTTTATTGTTATGTTAATCCCCGTACATTACATCATTAGTTTTAGATGTAGTGTTCCATGATTCATTGTTTGCATATAACACCCATTGCTCCATGCTTTAAGTGGTTTTCCTATTGCACTACTTGTTAGCTGATCTCTAGGCCTCCATTAAACCAGAACCTTACAAAGTCTGGAATATACCAATCCTACCCTAGTAGCATCACAAATGTGGATGGTTTTCTTCTCTTGAGAAGTTTTTATTGGTCAAAGTGAGAGTCCATAAATACACTTTTAGAAATTAAAAAAGGGGAACCTGAAAAGCGCTTTGGACACCTCCAGATCTACCACCTGAACATTACAGTTGCTTTAAAACTATATCCCTGCCTCGATCCTATTTATTTCCCCCACATGGATAAACATCCTGAAATTTGTTTTTATTCGTGTCCCCCCGCCCCCCATTTTGTAGCATGTATTCCTAAAGGACATACTAGGTTTCTATGCTTTTTTTATACCCCTGTAAAAAAAATTATTTGTACGATTCAACTTCTGGTTTGCTTTTATTTTGACAGCACTTCAAAAAAAAAATACTTTTAGGGACATATATTCATGTGAATCTTTGTAGCTATCATGTGTTCATGATCACTGCTTTATATCACCATTCATCTATTTGTAGTTGGTGAACATGTTTTCTTTAATTTTTGCCAGTGCAAGCATTGCTAGCATGAACATTACTATTAATGTTTTAAGTACATGAGCAAGGATTTCACTAGAGTCGAGATAAATGCATATTACCATTTTGATCAGATGATGCTAAATTAATTTCCAAATGTGTACAAATTCTACTCAATAGGGTATAACAGGAGTTTGAGTTAGAGCCATGTCCTTTCCAATTCATAATGTTAGATTGACTTTTTCCTAATCCAGTTAGTGGAAAATGCTTTCTCTTTGTGGTTTAATTTAGTCTTTTGTTAATAGGTTGGGCAATTCTTCAAGTACTTAAAGATTTATATGTTCTCATTGAATTGCCCATGAAAGTCTTTTGCCCCTATTTTTCTAATTTAAATTTTAGTTTCATATTGGTATTTTTCAAGTAAAAACTGATTTCTAGGAATTAAATACTGTACACACAAATACTTTGCTAGTTATATGCCCCGTAATAATTTTCTATTTTTTTTAAAGATCTTTATTTATTTGAGAGAGAGAGAGAGAGAGCACATGAGAG